CCCGCGAAACCCCCTCTCCAGGTCCAGGGGGAGGGGGTAGGGGGAGGGGTAAACCCTTCCCCGAAGGGGAAGAAGGGGGGTTGAGAACAGAGAGAGCTCGCTAAACCACTCACGCCCAAAGGGCTGGTGGTAGTAGTAGTAGTCGTAGTAGTAGTAGTAGTAGTAGTAGTAGTAGTAGTAGTAGTAGTAGTAGTAGTAGTAGTAGTAGTAGTAGTAGTAGTAGTAGTAGTAGTAGTAGTAGTAGTAGTAGTAGTAGTAGTAGTAGTAGTAGTAGTAGTAGTAGTAGTAGTAGTAGTAGTAGCAGTAGCAGTAGCAGTAGCAGTAGTAGTGATGGTAGTCTTAGTAGTAGTAGTAGTAGTAGTGGTAGTAGTCGTGGTAGTAGCAGTATTAGGACTAGTAGTGATAGTAGAAAGTAGTAGTCCCAGTAGTAAAAGTAGCAGTAGTACTAGTAGCAGTGGTAGTGGTAGTACTAGTAGTAGTTGCAGTAGTAGTAGTAGTAGTAGTAGTAGTAGTAGTAGTAGTAGTAGTAGTAGTAGTAGTAGTAGTAGTAGTAGTAGTAGTAGTAGTTTAGTAGTAGTAGTAGTAGTAGTGTAGTAGGTAAGAGGTAGTAGTAGTAGTAGTAGTAGTCCGTAGTAGTAGTAGTAGTAGTCGTAGTAGTATTAGTATTAGTGTAATAAGTAGTAGTAGTAGTCGTAGTAGATAGTAGTAGTCGTGGTAGTAGTAGTAGTAGTAGTAGTAGTAGTCGTAGTGTAGTTAGTAGTAGTAGTGTAGTAGTAGTAGTAGTAGTAGTAGTCGTAGTAGTAGTAGTAGTAGTAGTAGTAGTAGTAGTAGTAGTAGTAGTAGTAGTAGTAGTAGTAGTAGTAGTAGTAGTAGTAGTAGTAGTAGTAGTAGTAGATGTCTTTTGGGAGCCTCTTGGAGGCCTTTTGGGGCGTCTTGGGGGCCTCTTGGCGGCCCCAGGGGCTTCTAGGAGCGTCTTGGGTGCGTTGGGGGAGCCTCTTCGGGCCTCTTGGGAGCCTCTTGGAGGCCGTTTGGGGCGTCTTGGGGGCCTCTTGGCGGCTCCAGGGGCTTCCAGGAGCGTCTTGGGTGCCTCGGGGGAGCCTCTTGGTGCCTCTTGGGGGCCTCTTGGGGGCATCTTGGGGGCCTCTTGGGGGCCTCTTGGGGCCTCTTGGGGCTCTTTGGGGGGGGGGGGGTCTGGGAGGAATCTTGGGGCCATCTGTCGGCCGATCGATCACAGATGGGGCGAGCACGTTTCTCCCCCCCCCGTCGGGGCCAGAATCCTCGTGAGGGGTGTCGAATTTTAGCCCTCCCAGGAGTCCAACAAGACCCCTCCAACGACCCGCGAAACGCCCTCTCCAGGCCCAGAGGGAGGGGGTAGGGGGAGGGGTAAACCCCTCCCCGAAAGGGAAGAAGGGGGTTGAAAACAGAGCGGACCCCCTAAACCACTCACGCCCAAAGGGCTGGTGGGATTGTAACAGTCGTACTAGTCGTAATCGTAGAAGGCGTAGCACTAGTAGTGGTCATAGTAGTCGTAGTAGTCGTAGTTGAAGTAGGAGTAGTCGTAGTACGAGTAGGAGTAGCAGTGGTGGTGGTGGTGGTGGTGGTGGTGGTGGTGGTGGTGGTGGTGGTGGTGGTAGTAGTAGTAGTAGTAGTAGTAGTAGTAGTAGTAGTAGTAGTAGTAGTAGTAGTAGTAGTAGTAGTAGTAGTAGTAGTAGTAGTAGTAGTAGTAGTAGTAGTAGTAGTAGTAGTAGTAGTAGTAGTAGTAGTAGTAGTAGTAGTAGTAGTAGTAGTAGTAGTAGTAGTCGTAAGTAGTAGTCGTAGTAGTAGTCGTAGTCGTAGTAGTAGTAGTAGTAGTAGTAGTAGTAGTAGTAGTAGTAGTAGTAGTAGTAGTAGTAGTAGTAGTAGTAGTAATCGTATAATCGTATAATCGTATTAGTAGCAGGGGTAGGAATAGTGGTGGTGGTCGTAGTCGTAGCAATACAAGTCGTAGCAGTAAAGGTAGTAGTAGTAGAAGTAGTAGTCGTAGTAGTCGTAATCGTAGTCGTAGTTCCCCACATGCTTCGTGGGGTTCTGGTTTTCTTCCCACCCGCGCCGCACCCGCGTCTCACCCACACCCGCCCTCCTCCCCTCCTCCTCCTCCTCCCCCTCCTCCTCACACAGCACAGCGCAGCGCAGCGCAGCGCAGCACAGCACATCACAGCACAGCACAGCACATCACAGCGCAGCGCACACAGCACAGCACAGCACAGCACAGCACAGCACAGCACAGCACAGCACAGCACAGCACACACACACACACGGCTTGGTACGTGCGGCACATTCTCGACGCCATAGGGGTCGTCCACGGCACAGCAGGCGTGGCAGTTTTGCACAGCACACCTGCACAGCACAGCACAGCATAGCACAGTACAGCACACCGCAACACAGCACGGCACGGCACAGCACAGCACATCGCAGCACAGCTCAGCACAGCATAGCACACAGGGCAGGCGCGCAGGGCACG